AGGACATTCACTTAAAGAACTAAGGGAAGCTGGAATCCAAAATGCTGGAGCAAGTTCTCTGCTATCAAAACTCCGCAACAAACTTGGCACTTGGAAGAGGCACGCAAAAACTGTGGCCTCTAGTATGAAGACTAAAGAATGTCAATGGGGTTATCAAATGGAAAGATGGAAGCAGATATTAGTATGTATAAATCTTCATTGACCAGTAAAGAACAAGAAATAATGGATCTGCTGATGGAACTGGAAAATGGTCATTATGTAATTGAAGAATATTCTATGGGACTTTTGATCTTTAAATCTGAACTTGTTGAGGCTTACACCAAATTATTTAGTGCAGAAATAGATGAAGCTGTTCATATCAAAGGGAAAGAAGATATGATGACTTGTCTCTCTGAAGTGCAATTGGAAGTGAAAGACATTTCTCAAAATGTGGCACCACGTATTATGCTAGAGGAAAACTTGAACGGCATAAAAAATGCTTGAGGAATCATCAGAAGGTCAACATGCCTTGAAAGGGAAACTTCTGCAAATGGAGAACACTCTAAATTGTGAAAGACGTGTTTGCACTTGAGGCTCAAGGAAAGCTAGAGCTTGAAATAGCCAATAAAAATAATGAGGTCGCTCAATTAGGACGTGAATTAGAGAAGTGGAAGCATACGGCCCAAACTCTCAAAGCCTGCTCTGAAGAAATTCAAGGAAAGTGTCAAAAGATGGAGAGTTCCCTTACTTTGCAGTTCGAGAATGAGCAAGCCCTTAAGGATGAAAATGAAAGCCTTATCTGTATCGTCAAGGAGCAGGAGAGTAAAGCCGAGGAACTTCAGAAGCAGATTGCTTCCTTAGAACTGTACTGTACAAGTAAATTGAAGGAGCAAAACATTTAAGCAAGAGAAAGAAAATCTTCTCCAAAATGTTGAGGAGAAGGAGAGTTGCATTAAAGATCTTCAAAATGATATAGCCATGGCTGGCTTGCGGCAAGAGTCCTTGAAAAAAGAAGCATCTTCCGCAACACTTGCACTATTGGATGCAGATAAAGCTCTTAAGCAGGAGAAAGAGAATCTTTTGAAGCTTAAAGAAGAGAAAGACCAAATCATAAAGCACTTGCACGAACTAGCCGAGTCATTGGAGCAAGATTTGATGTGTGCGCTGTCTTTCGCTTTCGCTTTCTCCGAACAAGTGGAAAAGTGGGTTGAGATCGGTGCGCTTACAGGGGCCTTGAAAGATGCAGAATATCTGACAAAGCGAGAAATTGAAGAAAAGAACTGAGAGTAGTGAAAGCAGAACTGGAAGTTAACAATTTTCTTGAGAAGGTTGCTTATGAGGAAGAATCAATCTTACATTTGAAACAAGAATCAGAGCAGCTTCGAGCGTCATTAGAGGCAAAGAAGTTGGAAACTGAAGATGTGACGGAAAAATTGAGGTCCATGAAAAGCATAATTGGAGAGCTTGAGTTTGAGAAAGGAATTTTGCTCCAAGATATCACAAAGTTATCAACTGAAAGGGAGGGTATGCTAGCTCATATTGAAGACATGTGTGAGAGGATTGGGGAATTATCTGGTAAGGATCTGCAATTGATGAAGACTCTTGACGAGATGCTGAATACTACTGCAGATGGAGATCATTGGTCAACGGATCTTGTTGACTTTGACAAGCTGCATGTTGCTACTGTAAATGAGAGCAAATCGTACTTTTTCTGCCACGACTAAGAAACACGAAGCAAATTTTTGATGGGCGAGCTCCTCTGAGAGAGGTTAAGAATTTGCACGTGTAGATCGGGGAAGAAGTCTGAACTCAAGCAGAAGAAATGCGGTCAAGGTAAATAAATAGATATTCATTTTCTGATTTAATGCTCTACCATTGGCCTGTGCTTTTATACATATGCTCTCAAAAACTGTGTTTTGAAGAATCCTTAGTATCAGGAGAAGTTAAAACTTCAAACTCAATGTTAAATGGTAAACAAAAACTCATAATAACGTTTTATTCTTCAACATTATTCCATAACTTGCTCATGGAGCTTCTTTACCCATAATCTTATCAAAAACAAGAGCCATGAGTATGTAATTTTGTAGCCATGTGATACAAGTGACCTAAACGTATGTGGGAAGAAGTTCCTAGGATATATATGAATGGTCAAAATTCTAAACCTAAAGCTGGACTAGTTACCCGGCCGGAAAAAGAAAGGTGGGATTGGTCAACGTAAAGCTGTAGCCATTTGACGACTTGATGCATCTGTATAATTCCCTGAATTAATTGACTTATCTCTTCTGCTTGAAATTATTGGAAGCGATCTTTTGGTTAACAATATTTTTAGAGATTTGGTTGTTGACAGAATATAATAGTGTGGCGTAATTCATGTACCTAGTAGGATGAGATTTATCATCGTTGTATCCCTCTGAAATTGTTGCTATATCTAGTAGTTTCATGTCAGTGCTACACCTTTTGTTCTGCTTGATAAGTCATCTAAGATTCTTCCTTTTTTTTTTTGTGGAAACGTGCAGGATTTGGTCGGGTATCGAGCAAGCTAAATCACTGTATCTAAACCTCTGTTGGGAGCTCCAAAAACCAGCATTATTAGATATGGAGAAGTGGGGGAAAAAACATTGTCTAATGCTTGTTTCAGTAACTACCACATGTGATAGAAAATATGGCAAATGTTATTTTAGAAAGAAATAATTGTTTTTGCATTATTTAGTATTTTGTAAGTTTCCTTCTAAAGGAAGGAAACCTGACCTGCTTTTGTTTGTTCTACTCTTTATTTAAATCTGCAAGTTGAGCTTTCCTTATAGGGAAGGAAACCTCAAACTTATATTTTATTTCATTTTATGTTTCCTTCATAAGAAGGAAACCTTAATTGTGGCTTCTATAAAAAGCCACCATGCAGCACATGTAAGGGAGTTCGAGGAGTTGGAATGAATTGCTGTTCTATTCCCCTATCTATCAGTTCTGCGTCCCTCTCCACTTCCCCTGCTTTCTCTGTTTTCTGTCATCTCTCCCCTCTGTTTTCCCTCCCCCTTCACCTCTCATTCTCTGATTCTGTTTCTTTTCCTCATCCTATTCTGTTCAAATCAATGTGAGTGTGTGTTTTACATCAACTTGGTACCAGAGCCAGGTTCTGAACGTTCCTAGGCTGTTTCCACGGCCAGAGATCGAAGGAAAACTCTCAGGGGAGCTCAGCATACTCTGTTCACGCTGCCAGCCCCAGAATCACATTTCCCGACGTCAGATCCAAAAACGGACGCTACCATCGTGCTCAGAAGGGAAAATCCTGTCAGAACCAAAAAGACCACCTCCGCCCGAAGTCACACGCGCCGTCACGCGCCGGTGGAGCTTCTGCGCGTGGTCTTCACTCGCCTCACGCGCCGCCACACGCGCCGTCCGTACAGTCGCCGCCAGAACGTGATTTCAGTGTTTTCTGTGTGTTTTCGCAGAATTTTGTTCAACTTTGAAGGAGCTGAGGGGCGCAAGTCATCATCTAAAACTTATTTGGGGGTAAAACTTTTTGTTTTGAGCTCCTAAAGCAACGCTGGTAAGGCCGACGACCCTTTCATTTAACTGGCTTACTTGGTTCTTAAAGGAGGTGTTTCATTCATAGCTAGTTCTGAAATCTTTGTTGTGTGGTACTTTGGTTTCTTTGAGCATTGCAATTTTTATTTTATTTTTATTTTTTTAATCATGTTTTAATATTTTGAAAATATATAAATATATATAAAAAAAAGGAAATTTACATTGATCATTATGTTGTTAATTTGTGACTTTTGATAGCAGTGTTCGTATAACCTAAGACACCTACCTCACACACAATCCTGCCTTATACTCGTGTCCAAAAATTACCCTAGATTAATTGAAGTTTTTAACGGTTTTCCTGAAAGGTTTTTGAACCTTCGGAGATTTCTATGAAGACTTCACTCGAGCTGTTACCTATTTAGCATACGATCCCTGTGGAATTTTTGAATTCTCAGAGGGTTAGTGTTGTTAAAGAAGGGACTTCACCTATTTAGGTAAGGGCAACTTGGGGGCCTTTCTTCCTTAGGTTATTAAATCCACACCAAACTTGCACTTTACCATACCATCTTTGTCATTGTATGACCATTCGTGATTTATACGATAAGCAAGCTTTATTAGACCAAGAAATTACTGCCCTAAAATCTGTCATGGCTAATAACTCCCAAATCACCCAAAATCATCTTGAGGAATCTGAAAGGACTCAAAGGGCATATGTGGACCAGCGGCTAGATGAAATTAAAGAATTCATGGACAATAAATTTAAAGAGATAATGGGTGCAATTCAGTTGACATACAGACAAGATACAGGGAAAACAACTGAAGGGATACTCGAAAGACCTATCATTAGAGGAGAGTCAAGTCTTAAAAATGAACAATTCCCAGTCCACAATCAACTTAGAGGTAATTCCCTTAGGATTGGTCATTCCTCTAGAGCTATGGGTGAAAGACACAGTAGAACATTTCCTCATGAGTTTACCAATCATCATTCTGATGACATAGATGATACTTGGGATGGGCAAGGGCCTGAAGAACAACATCATAGACCATACCAGTTAGTCCATAGGAATGGTAGAGAAGGCTTTAGAAGGACACATATTGATGACATCACCAAAAAGGTTAAAGTTGAAGCTCCTGAGTTTGATGGACGATTGAATCCTAGTGCATTCCTGGATTGGTTAGCTAGCATGGAAGACTATTTTGAATGGTATGACATGAGAGATATTCAGCGAGTTCGGTTTACGAAGATGAAGCTCGTGGGATCTGCTAGGAAATATTGGCAAAATGTCTAAAGGAACATTGAGCGACAAGGTTATCCACCGATTGAGGCGTGGGATGAAATGAAGGCCAAGCTGAAAGAAAAATATGTGCCGACTCATTATAAGAGTCAACTGTATGACAAATACCTTAATTTGAGGCAAATCTCCACAGCTTCCGAGTATATTTCTCAATTCGATGACCTTATGATTAGATGTGACGTGGATGAAGAGGAATGGCGCATCATTACCAAGTTTGTTAATGGTCTCAAGCCATATCTACAGAAGGAGCTCAAGTTAAACTTTCCAGAGTCTCTTGAAGAAGCTTATCATAAGACTTTAGAAGTAGAGTCTCTGTCACAGTACTCGTCTGCAAAGCGTATCGACATGCAGAGCAATCTGTTTAGACAAGCACGAACTTCCAGTATGTCTGAACGACCAACAGGAACACTTACATCTAGGCCTAGCTCGTCTTTTACACCTACTCAAGCAATTGGGTTAAGGGGTAATACTTCTAAGCAGCCTAGTGAGGCTATAGTTCCTGCTTCCCGCCATAACAATTCCTTTGTCGAGTGTTTTCGCTGTCACTCAAAGGGTCATATTGCATCAAAATGCCCACAGCGTACTCTAGTTATTGACTCACAATATGAAGGTGAGGAAGACAATGCAAATGCTGACGTTGTCGTAGATCCAGTTGAGTGTCCTTCAGATGTCGATGAGGACATCATCATTGATGAACATGGGTGTGAGACACGTCGAGTTGGAGTTATGCGATGCATTCTATCTGTCCCTCTGCCTAGTGATTCGTGGAAGCGAACAAGTATTTTCCATACTTTTGTGAAGTGTGGAGATAAAGCTTGCAAATTGGTGATTGATGGAGGGAGTTCTAGAAACGTTATTTCTAGTCAAGGAGTAGCCCGACTCAATCTCAAGACAGAACCTCACCCAGAACCTTTTCGTGTTGCATGGGTCGACAAAACTTCTTTACCAGTCACGCAACAATGTCGCGTTCCTCTTCACTTAGGTGACTATAAAGAAGAGATTATTTGTGATGTTCTTCCAATGGATGTTGCTCACATTTTACTTGGCCGACCATGGCTTTATGACCACAATGTTATCAATCATGGTCGTGAGAATACCTATACATTTAAGCATGGAGGTAAGACGATCCTGTTACGTCCTGCTAAGCCTGACAACGAAGGTAAAGGCTCAAGTAAATCAAAGGGCACAAAACCCAAAACCCACAATTTGCATCTTCTGACAGAAAAACAATTTGTACAAGAAAGCAGAGAGAGTACATCGTGTTTATTTGGTATCCAAGATCTCGCAACGAATTGCTACTACTTCAAAAATGCCAGAGGAAGTGCAACAGCTCTTACAACAATTTCGGGATATCACTCCCGATGAGCTTCCATCTGAATTACCACCAATGAGAGAGATCCAACATGCAATTGATTTCATTCCAGGTTCACAACTCCCCAATCTACCGCACTACAGGATGAACCCTAAAGATAGAGCAGAGCTTAACCGACAAGTCAGTGGATTGTTGGAAAAGGGTTATATCCAGCATAGTATGAGTCCTTGTGCAGTACCTGCTCTTTTAACCCCAAAGAAAGACGGCTCTTGGAGAATGTGTAGACAGCAGAGCCATCAACAAGATCACCATCAAGTATAGGTTTCCCATTCCTAGACTTGATGACATCTTGATTTAGTGTCTGTGTAACACCCTCAAATTTACAAACCGATTTTTCGCAAATTATTAATTCAAGAAATCATTTTTTTTTCATTGAACCCTTATCATACCCTTATCATGGTAGAAAAATTTCTACCATGATACATCCAAGACAATATACCACAGGTCTTAAAATATCTCAAAAAGCAATTAGAACCATGAGGGACAGACATGATCCTCATAGCATGTTATTTAAATCAGGTCATGAATCAAGAGGGACAGACATAATCCTCTTGGTCATATAAATACTTTTAATAAAAAGGATTAGAGTTTACATGCTTCACAAAGAAGATATGTCCTAAGTTGGCACAAGATACATTGTATAATCCAAAATAAGAGGCAACGTAAAAGATGGTGTCTCATACACCATAATTACACCTCTGGTGCTTTCTCGGCCGGACTCGCTCCTGTAAAAATATTAACCACGGGGAATGAGACTTAAAAGTCCCAGTAACCAAAAATTAATATGTAATGATGCATGCGGATGTAACTAATCATGCGATTGCTAAGTGGGCACACAAAACATTTAACCGAACAATATTTTCAAACAAACCGAACAAGTATTTAATTTGCATGACTGCACCTTATATCCTCCTTTCGCCATGCTCGGACGCCAAATCACCCGGCCAAAGGTGAGTTGGACCAAGCGACACGCCACTCATTGGGTCCAATGAGGGCTTACCACGTGGTAATAATTAACCGAACAGAAATTCCCATTAACACCATACATTAAAATACCCTGACAAGTCATGCATCATTCAAATATCCAAACAGGAATATATCCGAACAATAATATCTCATCATGATAAACAAAAATAAATTTTTAACCCACTTGGCAATAATTTCAAACAAGTATATACAGTATTTATTTTCAATAATTCATAATTTTCCAAACAACAAAACAACACATAACCATTCACAAACACACTCATCACAACACATTAATAATGGTTACCTTGTGTCTTGAATAACAAGTTCCCCTTCACAACTCCTTTTTCACCACTATCTTTGTCAATATAATCTACATAATTATTTCACAATACTATATATTAATTTTACATTAAAATAAATAACTCTAATTTAAAGAGTTAGAAAGTCTTAATCTATAGTCCATATTAACACTAATTTAAGATTTATGCCTCATTTAACTTCCCAAATTCTTTTCTAAAATTCTCGTACCCTAATGAACTATTTTTTTTTATCCTCAATTCACTTCTAGTATCACAATTTCATCCTTCTACATTCTAAAAATTCATCCAAAAATAAATTAAAAATTTTAGAATTATCCTGAAGCCTCAAATCACCTTTCTATAACCTCAAAAATACCTATTCATACTTAAATAAATATTTAATAATCATAGGTTTATCCCTACATCTCAGATTCCACATAAATTCAACCATATAGATCTAGATTTTAACTCAAAAATTCTTAAACATGAGTTTCAACC